TCTTAAGAGTTCAGAAATACACACAAGTTCAAAGGATTGTGAATTAAAACTAAAATGGTATCAAATAATCGAAATAAAAAAAAATTTAAGTGCGTTTAAAAAAAAACCACCTTCAACCTTCTTTTTTTGAAACCGCATCAAAATCGGTTCAGCCAACCGAGAGATAATAGCGTATATACAAGTGAAACTGAAAACATAATTTTTTTTTTGAAGTCGATTAATAAGAACTTACTTCGGATCATATTTTATATGACAAACATTTATTTGAACATTACATTCCAGATCGATGGTAAAGAGAAAAAGTAATTATGGTGGCAAGCGCCACCAGTTTACCTCCCCGTCTCGCAACGGTTCCTATCCCTCAATATGAATTGTGCAAGGATCTGGTCAATAGGGTAGATGACTAATTTTTATTGTAATGTCCGTCTGGTAGATTATTTTAAAACATTACACACGTATTTTTTATTGTTTTACAGAAACGAATACTTTCGACGATATATTGATTTGAAATGTCGCGTGACGTCACTTCTATGTACATTTTATACGTAGAAATGACGTTTTAGTCCCCACTCCTAAACTTTGATTCGTTACATCTAGGTATCATTTTATTATACAATAAAATAGAAAAATACGTACCTAATATTTTTTCATTACCTAACTGACAGACTAATTAGATTTTTAATTTACATACACTGTCATCATCCCTATTCGAATGTATTATGTAGATACATAATATTCAACACTCAGATGCATAATTGGTTTTAGTTTTAATTTCCTTCTAACCGCATTCATACAAATTGACAGCACTCTCTTGCCAGTGGCCTTATCAGACAATTTATATCTGCTTTACCAGACAATTCTTTATGTAAACATACATGCTAGGTGATGCGGCAGTGGCATTCAATTTTATATATCCGCCACGCAATACCATAACCGAGGTGCAAAATTATTAAAGAAATACTAGGATAATCGTCGCTAGTAAAATGAAATATGATAATGCAAACTAGACTAAACGTGAGTCCCTAGACAAGCAGCTAGGTTATTCTAGGAAATTGATTTATTAATTGAATTAGGTATTTACCTTTTATGTTGAAATATGTAATTGAATCTTTATGGTAGTGTCGGGATTATAATACCAAAGCAAAGTCCAATCAAAGCGCATGTAGGTAGTTCAAAGGCGTCGTCTACACATCTTTGAATATTTAGTTTGTAAATATGACCTTCAAAGGCATTTATGTTTTAAGCTTAAAATTGTTATCAATACCTACACTTTAAAATTCAGAATTTTCAAAATTCATATTAAAGACTGTTGATTCCCCGAATATTCTTCTAAGTCGACTACAACACTGCATTTTTCCGGTAATTTACGCCTGACAAAATTCCATGTACGCCGTAATAGCTGGAAATATGTCTTTGTTGTATTATAGGCAAATGTGCAGGGAGTGTCGGCAACAGCATTTTTGCCTGTTGCCGTAAATGTTGAGAGCTATCGTGGTACATATATCCAGTTAGCTGCGTGGGAAACTCTCGATCCTCAACCGACACACGTGCTGAACTACGTACTTTTTAAACTTAATTATTAACTTTTAGCGTTCATTTTTCACACATATAACTAGGAAACTGTGAAATAGAAACTGGGAATATGATACTGGGAAACTATATTCGTAGTTTTAAAGTGCAGGCAGCAAAACTATGTTGCCTTTTTAAATGTATCATGTATGTTATGACACCCTGTAGTTTGTGCCAACCACTTGGGAGAAGGGTTTAAGTACGTATGTAGGTCAGAAACTACAACGTGATTAAATAGGTACATTGTTTAAATCGACTACTAGCTAGCATCATATATGCACACGTCAATTAGAAATGAATCAATCGGTCGGGACAAACATTGGCTCTACCTGGCCGTGTTTACAATACAAAGTGACTGATATGAGGACAACAATCTGCGTTCGGACTGTGTAGGTGTGTTCTTTTAAACATAGGCAATTAGACATCGTTAAAAAATCATTATCAGACTTCATATTAAAATATTTTTTATTTGTTAAGTATAGTAAGTACCTAATGTTGGATTTTAGGCGTGACTATCAAGTTTCAGTTGTAAAATACTAACGAGTGAAGAGAGACTTCAGTTAAAGCTGTTTTAACCAATGATCATGATAAACAAAACATGAGTTAAATATTCGTCTTTTCTTATTACTTTGTTATAAAGTAATAAGAAAAGACGGATATATAAACACCTGAAATCAACACGATCGTTTAATTTTCGTGAGCCCTTAATCGATTTGACAGTCAATCAAAGGCTGTCGAAAAATGACAATACAAGGCAATCAGTATTCGAACAGACTTTGCGATATGCACTATATGTCATAGAGTGTATTTTTAATTAACTTCAATATTCACATCACGCATGGGAGTATTGGGAATTCTATTAAAATCAAATTACGGACTGTAAAGTATTGCACTGTCCATCCCCAATTGTTCTATAAAATGATGTTATTGATACGGGTAAAATCAATTTGCGCGTATACGTGGCCGTTTGTCTATGGTAAAATTGTTGCGTTGATTATATTAGACCTCATAATAGAAGTATTAATTGAATTCATAATTATGTCAAAGGAAACAGTTTGGTTGGTTTTGTATAACGTTGTTAGTGGACAGCGGAGTGGCGTAGACCGAATGTACACGAATAATATTTAACAAAAACACACTGTACCTTACAGTTGGCATGCACGTTAGGCATACATAGACAATTTGTGCAGCAACACTGGATCAGTAAAACTGCAGCTAAAGTGGATTCTAAGCTCGAGGTCAGTAAATGATACTTAGCACGTGCTTTGCTTTTTTAGTGTCTCTCATCAACGGGTGCTTCTTTGGTAAATCAAAACCAACTTCCTCAAGGAAAAATGTAAAAATCTCTCATTGAAATTTCCAAAACTTAAACTTTGTCACTGTGCTCAATCAATCCGATAACAATATCGACGATTGTGACGAGGATGTTTAACAATCCTTTGACAATAAAGGGTATTTGTCAAACAAACGCAATTTCCCAAAACCTACAGCACCGATTACACCAACAGGTGAGAGTAAATGAAAGCCTAATTTTGACAAAGCATGTGCTTAAATTGCCTTTTATTGACCTCGATTGGACAATCATTTTAGGGACCTTTGCTACTTTTATAATACAGATAAAAAATTGAAATAACCAAAATTTTAATACTGATGTTTCTACGATATTTTTTCCCATCATGGCATTTCTAGTACCTCATAAACAAGTATAATCAATTTGAAACTTGAAGCATTAACTTTTTCTTTGATATATCCGAGACTTACGTCTTTAGGTTTAGAAATATTCTCTTTTAACATCGAACTTCCTATTTCTGAGAAAGAAGAAGAAAAGTAATCTTGTCTAATTTCTTTTTCGGATAATATTTTAATTTGTATCTCTTAATAATTTCAAGAGTTTGATGTGTACGATCTGTTTATTGAAGTGATGGAAAGAAATCTGATTGAGTTTGAAAAAGTAATTTCTTAGGCCGGTAAGTTCATATTTATGACCATTCGATCGCTATTCGTCTTGTAAAAATGTTAGGCAATAAACATAACATTTTTTTTTAGTCTTAAATGCCTTAATGTGTTTGCGTAAATATATCTAGATAAATATATGCAGGTATATGTTTGATTGGCTGTCCTGATGTCGATAGTCCCAACAAAGGATGAGATAATTGAGCAGTGGAGCAGTAATGACAATGATGGAACATTTACATACTAAGTACACCGCACACCTACCGTTATTAATTTGTGTATTTGATAGGAAATGCGACCAGTTACCGACAATTGCATTCGGTAATAGATATTAATTATCAGCCCCTAAGCCTAAAATGAATAATGCAAATAGACGTGTTTATTGTGTATCACACGCGTCAATTTTGGTGAAATTGAGCATCATTTATATAATGTACTCGAACTTGATTTGCGAGTAGTTAATGCTAAATTATTTATGAAATTGATTTGACTTGTATGTCTGTATAGAAACTTCATTTGCTTATCCCAAGCTACTTGGGGTCGGTACAATACGTGTTCTTTTTCCATTTTCCACTATCAAATGTCATCCTATCACTCCTTTCCCTTTCATATCATTCTTTATACAATCGAGCCAACATATTTTTCATCCTTCACATTAAAATTCCGTATTTCGCGCATGTTACATGACTTTCATCCGTTATCACATGACTATACCATAAAGGATCACCTTTCAGCTTCTCTATCTGGCGTCACTTACAAACTTTTTCAACGTTTCTATACAGAATACAAGTATAAAAACTAGGATTTTGAGACTACAATAAGAATTTGAATTGCCAATCGACGGCATATGTTTTATTCAATGCTAGACAATTTATCTATTAAGTGTGAAATGTTAGTTCAGTGTACTGCCCTTTTTGTAGGAACTTTGTTGGGATATCTTTTCAGGTACAGATATGAATTTTGAAGACGTAGACTCCTTGCTCCCCTTTGAAGAGTTCCTAGAAATATATGTATCTAGGATAGAAGGACCAGAAATGTTTTTATTTAAAATAAAAAGCAGCTATGTTACTCTGTTATTGTTTAATGTGTATATCATTGATTTCTAGCAAAATGTAGTTGTTTTAATGTTTTGCTAATAATTATGACTTATAAAGCCATTTCATGGTGGCTTTTCATATCTTTGTACTATTTGCTGTATTATGTCCTTCTTTCCTAGAAAATACAACCCTGATATTCAAAATATCATAGATTTCAATTTTCTTCTTAATTAAAATGGTGCAGAGGAATTAGTAATCACATTATATGAATTCCAGGGTTGCTATGGAAGCATACTGGAGTATTGGTTTCAACAAAGCTGGTGACTGTATGCCAGCAATGGTGATACCAACACTTCTAGTAAGACTTCCAGATCTATTCTATCCACAAACCTTTTGCAGGCCGCTTACCAGCTGAGAGACATAGACCTGGAATGTACTTACGGTTACATAGTTAGCATTGATGTAGTCCCTCTCACAGCGCTTCAGCACAACTCTGGTGTGGTCGAAGGGATTCACGTCGCGGTAGCGGTTCAATGGCTTGTTCTGGGCTTTCTTGGCTTCGTTCAAGGTGTAGCCATAGCGTTGGCATTCCAGCCCGATCTTCTGTTGGTTGAAATTGTTACTATAAGTATTTTTGTTCCACTTTAATTTGTGAAATGGGTGGAGAAGCGTCAACATGGTGTTTGACCTGCCTTTTGCAGTGGAACAAGCAAGGGCAGAAGTATAAGATAAACATATTTTTGCTTTTTGTTTGACATTGGAAAGCCTACTACTTTTTTAAGAGTTTTCCCTGTGTTATGGGTGGTAACATTTAGGTATAGAAATCAATGATTCAACTTTATGCAACTGGTGTAATATAGGTGTTACAGTAGATTGCAATAAAAAATATTACACACATTTTTGTATAGTACCAAATATGAATTTAGTATAAGGTATGAAAAGTTAGGGGATCCAAGTTTGGAGGAGGGGATAAACGCCTAGCAACTAGGGGGGGGACCTCTAGGTGTCTAAGGGGAATTAATTGTATGACAAGGGCATGGACCAAGAGTCTGTGGAGATTTAATATGTAACATTATAAAAAAAGAGAACCTAAGCCTTTTCTGTCACGTAAAAAAGAATGCCACATTCAAGTTTTTTACCAGAATGACGTCATAGGAATACAATTTCAATGTGCATAGGCAAAAATATATGGATTTCTATAACTGTATACTATAGAGAGTACTTTAAATGGATATTTTGCATACAAATTTAGGACTTATTTTGTAATATCTCATTAAGTATCTATTAATATAGCTAGTGGTTAATTTAAAAACACTTGTGTGTCTAAATATTTGTCAGGTATGCTGGCAGCCTTTAGGTTGGTTTGAAATGGGCTCTCAGTAGCATGAATTACAGAAATAGTTCTAGGTATTATAGATACTTAGTTTTTATAATTTAGATACCTAGTTATTAGTATTAGATATGGATGGTTAGTTAAGTAGGTATTTATAATTTGTCTTTAGTGTGTTCAAAGTTACTGTTCTGCTAGTCTGAACATTGAAATTAATTTAATTCAAATTGAGAGATCAAGTTGTCCCAATTTTAAATCATACAAAGCATTTTTTATTAATTTTCATATAGCAAGGCTTCTTCTAAATGTTATCTTGTTTTTATATATTAATTTTAAAGTGATAAATGAAAATAAGTTCATTCCAGTAGTAATTGTTCGCAGGGTTCCCAATATTTTAATAAATTTAGATTTTTTTCTATAGCCGTTGTTCTAAGTATTTGAGTATTTTAGATCAAAATAATGTAGGCTTAAGTCTTAATATTTAAAAGCCAAGACCTATTTGGTTTTAAAGGATATTTTGTCTCATACCAATAATATGCCCAGTGAGTAACAGTAAATTATTGTGATATTTACTTATTAATTATTTATGATGTCCGCAAACCAATGGTAATCACTTTTTTATTGACTACCTCCTGATGCAAACAGTTGCTGGCAGCAGAATGATTAATCACATACAGCATTTATGTTGTATAAAGAAAAGACACCTTCAGGTACTTCTGACTCCAGCACCTCACCAGCTAAGGAACCTACAATTCTAGAAACCATCAAAAACTTGTCATCAGCATCATACTCCTTCTCAGCAACACAGCATATCTCCTTTCCTCAGACGGAACACAAAAATAATCACAGAAAAAAACAAAACCTTAAGAAAACCAAAAGTATTAAGAACCAAAACATAAAAAATAAACAAAATATAAAATAGCAAATGCAACAATTTCTATGCCACGGCTAAAATACGCTAGCGAAAACCATTACTTTCCCAAATGAGGACCAAAAACGTTGAAAGTTTCATCAAATCGCGACTCGGAATAAGTTGTAGTTGTAAGTTTTTAGCGCGTGGCACAGACATACCGCGTCCCACCTACGCTCGTACCTGATAGACCAGGGCCCAAGCATTCCTGGACACGATGTCCAAGTACTCCTCCTCAACTTTGTTGGTGTACACGTTGTTTTGACTCATTGTTCAAGTTGTTTCCTTCTTTCGCTCACTCTTAACGAAGTATTGTTTGGGTATCGGATACCGCAAACTGTTCAAGTTTGGAAGTTATTAACAGTTGTCACAAGTGATAGATATGTTGTGAATACAGGATATGCCCGGAGCAGGTGTTATGCCAAACTTATTTCAACCCGTAACAACTGTTCCAGCGACGAAATCAGAATGATTTAGATTTGGATAGCGGCCTTCGCTTCAACATGAGTGCACCGCTGTCGGATTTAGTGTTGTCAGTTTTGTTTACAAAATCACTGCCTCCCTCTAAACCTACCACGGTAGATTTGGTATGTCAAATTTACGCGCTGAATTCAAATTATCATAAAGTAGTCCTTACCTAAATCTTGAATTTGATTGAGAAGTACTTTGTTTTTAAGTGTAACGTACCAAAATAATATCATGTAAGACTATTCTGCGATTAACAATGCACTGAAATACGTGAAATCTTTTATAATAAAAGAAAATCCTAAAATATTACTTTTTTCGGACAGCCATAACTTGGACTAATATTCAATCATTTATTTCTTGTCATGATTTAGAACAGTTTAAATTTACTTCCTGAAATGTCTTGTGTTACCGTAATACATGATTACGTAATAATTCCCGTTTTAAATAAATATTAAACTACTTATATTAATGGTTTTATAACAGCGGCAACACTGACGTTTTCCTGAAATAGTTTGTGAGATTCATAAAAGATGTCTCTGTAACGATATATTTTAACTTTCCAAAAATTTGTAGTTTATAGTACGATGTGTGTTCTTAGTTTATACAATCACCTTCATCCGTTATCCGCATCCGGTGGCTGGCACTTGGCAATGGTTGTATGTGAAAAGTGTGGAAGGTCGAGCTTAGTGGTGTGCCAATGCAAAGGAATATGTCCAGGAACGTACTGGTTATGAACTAATGATGATTATGGCTAAGCAGGCACCGATCGTTTCCAAGGGACGGGAAGTATGCGTTAAAATTCCGAGACCCTAGCCCTACTGAGCTATTTTAGTGCAATTCGGTGCAACAATATTTTGAGATTCGAATAAGGAAGCTTGAAAGTCTTCAACCACCGCGCTGTGCCAATTTGATTGAAATTCGATATAACAATCGTTTGCAGCCCGGGAAAAGACGTAGAATAGTTTTAATCAGTGAAACCTTACATCTTTATATAATTTAAAATCTTAGGAAGGCCAAAACTGTACATTGAATATTTTGGGCGTGATCAGCAATCGATACTGAAGCCGAAAATATGTTTTTTTTAATTATTGTCTGTTTGTCTGTATGTATGTCCGGGATGATTACAAAAAGTTCTGCATGGATTTACTTCTTTTATATTATTATGACTATTAACTACTAACAGGTCATGAAGAAGATGCTGTTAAATAACTTTCATTGGCAGTTCTGGGTGCTTGATTTCTTTTGGCATTATTCTCTGAGGAACGTTTGTAATGTTTGGACTTCAATTTTCAGGTGTTTAATTAGATAAAGTAGAATGATTGTTTAACCTCTTGCCTGTCGATGATATATGAGACACAATAAAAAACGTGCCTAAAGTTTTTCTATGTATTCGACACTTCACTGGTACACTGGTTAAATAAAAACAGGTAAGTATACAATAAGTTCGATGTGTGTATGTTCTTACTTCTTTTATTAACGGTAATGTATATTATTAATTGTTAAAAAAATTATACGTTAACTACATTATACCTCCATGACACGGGAGAAAATCTTAGTACTTGGCAAAAGCAATCATCAATAATAGTGCATCAAATTTATCTAATAATTTTGGTTTTGTTTGTCTAGGTTTGGTGACACTGCTCAGATCGCACACAAATCAAATAATAATAATTATTATAATATAAAAATATATTGTAATAAAGTGTCATAAAAAACAAATGTGAAAAATTAACCAAATTAACTGGGTTTCAAACATGAATTGCGTAATGGTTTTTTTATTTGATTTAAAAAGATAAATCAACTAGTCTATGTATGCCAAGTGGACGTCTGAAAAATTTTGACGTTTTGTCAATTTGTACTTGTACTGTTTGCGTGTAAAAAGTACCTACTTTGTGCATAACTGCATTTATTTGAAATTAAACACTAATACTACAATTAATAACTGAAAAATGGCTTCACCAAGAACCCGCAGGAAGCTCAACTCTATCCGAAATATCGACGACAATAACGTAAGTCACTGTTTTTTTTAAATTGGTGTCCGTATGTTACCAATAAGAGCATGATATTCAAAATTTTTCATATTTCTCCTTACAGAAATGTTTCGAGTGTGGCACATTGAATCCGCAGTGGGTCTCTGTTACGTATGGAATCTGGATTTGCTTAGAATGCTCGGGGGTGCACCGCAGTCTAGGAGTTCATCTTTCATTTGTTCGAAGTGTCACCATGGATAAGTGGAAGGACTTGGAGTTGGAGAAAATGATGGTAAGACTCTTTGTATCTTTATTTGTTAGTTGGCAAGGAACCAATATTAAACATAGCAGAGTTATGACAGAACATATTAAAACGCAGATTAGTTTGTAGGGGATTGGAGCTAGAAAACAGTATAATAGCTTCTATATAGTTAATTTATAGTTTTCAATCTCCTAAATGAAATGTAGAGGTTGTTCAGTAGCATATCATTGTGCAAATATCAATAAATCAATATAACCTTGTCTGATTTAGGAAAATTGATTTGTTCAAATGATAAGTGGCAAGTTATTTTTGCAGTGATTTTGATTGGGACTCATTTTTATATTAGCTATATGATACTAATTAGGGATACACATAATTATTTACAGTGCATAAATATGAAGTAATGATGTCCAAAGATTCAACTTCATACTACAAATTTCACTAAAATGTCAAAGGTCATCTGTTATAAGCATTCTGTATATTCATTCATTAGAAATAATGAATGCAAAAATAAGTATTCTATTGATGTTTTATTAACTTAGTGAACTTTATTTTAATAAGATTAGAAATATTGTGAGAACACCCAATTAATAACTACTTAATTGATGAGTATTTCTTTTTATTAATTCTCTAAACCATGTCTTATATTAGTCTAGAATTCTTTGATTGAATATGTTTTGAATTGTTTGTCTGTGGTTTCAACTCCCTATTTAAGCAGTCTGTTAAGTTATTATGTCTATTAATTGAAGGCAGACGTAGAGCCAGGGTAACAGCTGTTACGGTACCAGCTTATACAATATAATTCTCTCCAGTTTCTTCTGGCATATCGCTAGGCAAGGGTCATCTTCATTTTATTTAATTAATTAACATATTTCATAAATAATTGTATAAAGATGAACTTAATGTGTATAGCAGCATTCTCTGCCGGTCAACAGAAAATATACATCCATGTCACATTCCCACAAAGATACAAGATTGAGTGACAAGGGCACGAACCAAGAGTCCTAGAAGGATAAATATTGAATATTAAAAAAACCCACAAAGATTTAATGTACTACTATTGTTTTGTACTAAAATTCTATTATTACTCTATTTACAATCAATCAGACGGTATTGGATTTTTTTTACATTTAAAACAGTACTTCAACGCGATGTTTGCAAGTAGTGTTAGAAATTTGATACAGGTGTCACTATTGGCTTTGGGTTGCAATCTTAAAATGATTTGTCTCTTAAACTGTCAAACACCGCGAGGACACCGGTGATCGCAACCTATTGTTCTTTAATTGTGTCTATAATGACGGTACTCAAAGGGTTAATTAGAGAAGATCGAAGTTTAGTAGGAATTATATTGTAACATTTTTATTTTTACAATTGTGAAAATTATATCCTGTGATTATTGGCAATGTGGTTGTAGTTAGTAAGTGGTAGATGAAAGCTCTGATCCTACTCTTTTAATATTTCGTTTGTGATTCCTTTGTGCGTGTTACATTGAATGGTTGCATTAAGTGCCGAAATGTGCACTTCTGCCTACCCCTTATGTTATGATTCCTTTACCACATTTTATTTTACTAATTTATTAATGTTAGTGCTATGCGTTGACAGTTCTGCTTGTGCTTTTTTTCTTTAACCATACTGGATACTGTTATGTATTTCATGGTCAACATAATTTACAACTTCTATAGGATACTTATGTGATGATAGGATAATAAATTAAAGTACATTGTATACTTCAACTTTTCTACTCAATGAATGAATTTGTGCCATGGAACTTGCGAGTCCATAGAATTTGATAAACAGTTAATAAAATATTAAAGAAAATCTGTTCTGATCAGCTATTAGTAATTTTCTATGGGTATTGTTTTTTGTATAGATTAAACTGATTTCATGACTATACAAAATAATTTTCTTTCCAATATTATTAATAGTTGATATAAGAATAGTTACTTAAACTACTTCACTTACAAATAGTATTAAAAAATCAGAGATTTTCTTAGTTTTTGTTAATATTCTTGGCTGTTGCGATGACGTAGTTTCATTGTCCTGGAGGGCGTGGCAGGCGCGACTTGTACCCGAAATTGAAAGGGCACGATGTTCATCTTTGTAAAAGAAATAGCTGCTACTAATCTAGTTTTGTGTTATATACCGTTTTAGTAAGATAAGCTATATAATTCTAGTTTCGGCAGTACATTAAAATAATGTTATTATTGATAATTGTTTAAAATGAGGATTAAAGTTAATTTATAACAAAACTTTATAAACTTAACTTTATAAAAATGTATCTATTGAATAGAAGTTTTTTAAGTGGTTTTGCTCATGTAGTTTGGTTTAAAAGAAATTCTAATCAATACCTTTTGTAAAGGTCAAAAAGTCGAAGGTACTTACGATGTGAAGAACTAAACAGTAGCGACATCGTACTGTTGTGTCTAAGAAACAGAGTTTCATCAAAACGCCGAACGAAGGCTCCACGAGTCTAGTTTTGCCTGAAAATGTTGCATGAGTCTTCACATAGATGGCGCCACTCGAATTTAGTGTGAAAATACCATGAACTATATGAACTCTGAAGCAACTACTTAATCTGAAATTATATTATAGAATCCTTATGTGTTACTAATTACAGAATAATTGAATTCTATTAAAAATCCTAAATTAAACTACAGTAAAGATTTAAAAAACATAATTTAATTATTTACATTGTAAATATACCTATATGGCTGAACTAAATTTAAACTAAAATTAATATTATAAATAACTAAAAACTGAAATTGTTTCACCATAAAATTACCTTAAAAAAATAAAACTACTGTTAAAATGGGATTATATTTCGTAAGATGTAGCTAATGTTTTATTTATTGTTTTAAAGTTGCGTCTATGAGTGCTGGTAATTTTTTGTAAGGCTTTGCGTTTCACGCTATTGCGATTAATACTACAACTATTATAATTTTGATTTAGAATTAATAAAACAGATAAGAACTTTATGTACTAACAATATGACGTAAATAGTAATCTCTACAGGGATAGATACAGGTGCACATAGACATTATTCACCAATTATCTTATTAGTGTGTGTATAATAGATGGTATACCTACAAGAAATAATCGAATACCCCAACAATCGTCTTCGTTGCTAAGCGCAAATCTCGAGAACCGCTGAATCGATTTAGCTACTTATTTTTTGTTGTGAGGAGAAAGTTCTTATGTAAGAAAAAAATAACAAACATGCGCATAATAATTATCAAGGCGAAACAAATTTATTAATGTCCTCGTAACATTTTAAATTTCAATTTCTAAGTGTGTTGCATCTGTAATTTGAAATGGGTAACAAACCTATTCTGTCCTCATTCGTTCAATTCAATTTGAAAGGCTGCACGAGGGTGCTTTATTATTGACAGTAGCATGCAATTGTGCCGCGGTTCTGTGACCACTTCCTATTCACATTGAGCACCGTTCGCACCATTGGTACACCGTGCTGTTTAATATTTTATTGTTTTCATGCTAGAATTGGAAATGACTTTTGTACGTGATTGTCAAGGAGGGTTGATTGTTGATCGTGTCTTGTATTTTCTTTTAAAACTTTTGATGACGGGATGGTATTAAATCAGGTTTTTTTTTAACGAGGGAAAATCATCTTCTGATTGAATGACTTCTCCCGCCTGGGTGAGGCGGGAGGGAGTGTCATACTCTATCTGACTAAAAACCACCCCGTTCCTGCTTATGCACTTCGAGCCGGAACCCCGGTAACCCGTTAGGTTCTCCGCGGCTCCGTATCGGCATCGGCCCTGTTCGGCCCCATCTGTGGTGGTCTGATGGCTCTTTGAGGCGCCCGCGGAACGTGACGCGCCGTACGCTCGGGTCTGGTTCAGGTCGGGCGGCGAGCCACCCACGCTCGTCGTCCGCAGGCCCGTGCTTACGGTGGCCGGAGATCGTATTAAATTAGGATAAGATGTAAAAATCTTCTATGATTAAAGGTTGCCTTAAAATATAATTAAGTACCTACTGCTCTCTACTCGTCTCCAACACATATCGTTTAAAAATATTTTACTGGACCCTGAACTCGTGAATAACTATACCTATATAATTTATTAAATTTTCTAACGGTCGTGTCAAACGTCTAAGATTTATTTACATTATCTTTGCGTAGTTTGCGTGATTACTTATTGTTACGAATTGAAGTGAATGATAAATTAAATTAATTAAAATGTTATGCAAAGTACTTACATTGTTGTTCTTTATCGAATATTTGGTTTATTAGTATATTATTAGTACTTCGTTCAATTAGGAAATAAAATGAGAATGATTTTTTGTAATCATTGGTTATGCTATCGAAGAACTTAGCCAATATTTTATTATAACCCTTCTCATACTTCAAAGTAATATTTGCAGACCTTGTCAGATGATTTCTTGTTTAATAGGAAATATTGAAAACATCGACCTTCGTAAATTGACGTCAAAAGTATCTATTATTAATATAACCTACTTTTAGAATGGAGATCAATCATCGTTTAACACCAAGTTTACAATACTTTGATAGATGAAACTCTGTTTTTAGTTGCATTTTGTGATGTTTGCGATTCTGGGACCAAATTCTTTGGAATTTGTTGCACCGTGGTATTGCAGAATACAAGTTGGTGATTATACATGAGATATATGTCGTAATTATGGATGATTGATTAAGTAGTGGTGATAGAGTAGTATACATTTCACACGTCACCACCCTTGGGGTCCATGATGCGTCACTCGTCAAAAACGATAGGCCATTGCCGCTACAGTTTTTTAGTTTCTAAGCAAGATGCAAACGTCTGTCTATTGTTTGTAAATGATGCATGCATTCGTCAAATGCCGCAAAGTGGACAGTTACTGTTATTACCTCTATTAATACGGGTGTCGTGGTTAATTTCTCTCACATGTCTGTTTGTCAAATGACAGTAGCGTTGTCTGGTGAAATTTTTAAACTGCTATCAACAAGTCGCCTGCACAGCGTAGAGAGTAGATGAAACCCAGTGACTCAACTGAGTCTGGCAGTGGACTATTTC